ATACAACGAAATACAAAAATTACATGTTAAGAATACATATTAAATACACCAAAAGATGACATTGCAATACAAAACGTCATAATATTACAAAATACAGTAAAATACAATAAATTACAGACTCAGTGCAGTGTATTATCACAGGGTACAAAAAATTACATAGGAATACAGTTGAAGCCTTCGATAAATGCCCTAAGATACAGTTCACGTTACAGAAATCTCTCTCTTTCACGTTACAGAAATCTCTCTCTATCACGTTACAGAAATCTCTCTCTATCACGTTACAGAAATCTCTCTCTATCACGTTACAGAAATCTCTCTCACGTTACAGAAATCTCTCTCTATCACGTTACAGAAATCTCTCCCTATCACGTTACAGAAATCTCTCTCTTTCACGTTACAGAAATCTCTCTCTATCACGTTACAGAAATCTCTCTCTATCACGCTACAGAAATCTCTCTCTAGAAATCTCTCTCTTTCACGTTACAGAAATCTCTCTCTATCACGTTACAGAAATCTCTCTCTATCACGTTACAGAAATCTCTCTCTATCACGTTACAGAAATCTCTCTCACGTTACAGAAATCTCTCTCTATCACGTTACAGAAATCTCTCCCTATCACGTTACAGAAATCTCTCTCTTTCACGTTACAGAAATCTCTCTCTATCACGTTACAGAAATCTCTCTCTATCACGCTACAGAAATCTCTCTCTATCACGTTACAGAAATCTCTCTCTATCACGTTACAGAAATCTCTCTCTATCACGTTACAGAAATCTCTCTTTATCACGTTACAGAAATCTCTCTCTTTCCCGTCTGTATTTTTGTAATTAAAAATACATAATTGCTTAAATAAGGTTACAGATTTCATGGATTACAGATTTAATAGGTCTAATGTCTAATAGGCCCCAGTTTAAAAGGGGTACAGTTCTAATAGGCTCCAAACCTAACTCATTAGGCCTACAATCGAAATTTGAAGTCGATATAAAATCTTACTCAAAAAAGTCAATTCTTACTTAAAATCTCACAAGTTTAACGGGTACTTTAAAACCTTATAAATACATATCTACCTAAATATCACGCCTTTAAAGTTTTCTATACTTCTATACTGACCTAAAATCATCTATCTATCTCCCTAAAATCTATTGTCACCCAAGTACTTAAAATTTCTATGTCAAATTCCTAAATATTTTGGATTTTAACTCGAATATTTTCAATTTTAGGTTAATTAAGGGAAGTGACGTAGGTAAAATCCGGGTTTTGGTCTCACGAACGGGTTGGGATTTGTTGATAAATGTGGATTCAGGTCTCACGAACGGGTCAGATGTCAACAAGAGGTCTTTTAGGGTGAATTTCAGTCCGATTTTTGGGTTTTTCTCACATAAACTCTGAAATCTGAGGGAAAATCGGGGTTTTAAAGCCAGATTTTGGGTGTGGGTGGAAGAGGAGAGGAGGAGAGTGGATGGAAGGGGATAAAGAGGAAATAAGAGAGAGAAGGAAGGAAGGAAGAGGGAAGGAGTCTCACCCAAACAGGTAATTACAGGTAAACACGTGATTCCCAGGTGTGACCTTTGACCTGTATAGTGTGTCTTACAGGTCACCAAGGGAAGGTGGCTTGGTCCCTCTCTCTCTCTCTCTCTCTCTCTCTCTCTCTCTCTCTCACACACACACAATGCTTCACACAATCACCTTTTAAACGATCAGCTCAACTGTTGTGTACATTGTTTGTGTACGTGAGTGTCTGTGTGTACGTGTGTGTGGTGAACGTGTGTGTCTGTGTGTACGGAACGTGTGTGCACCAATGAGAGAGTCTGAGAGAGGTGTACACGGTGACCAATGAGCGTGTCTGTTTCTACACCTTAAATTAATTCCTCGTCTTCCTATTGGTTGAGTAAAATCCACTCATGTTGGTTCACTGTGTGCTAATTGGTCTATCTCTTTAATGACGTAAGTTAGTATGGCTCAACTTGATTGGTTTACTTTCATGATGACGTCACTTATTGTGTGGGGGGGTTAAGGAGTGTGATGATTGGGTAATTCCTATCATGACGTCATTGAATATCAAGCTCACTGATTGGCTGTGTGGGATTTAGACAGACAGACAGACAGATAGACAGACATCCTGAAGACGGGGGAGGTTCTACGGGTTCGCTTGGGTTCGTCCAGGAACAGAATAGGGTTCAGAGGGGTCAGGTGAGGGGTGGAGGAGGGGTCAGAGGTCAGGTGAGGGGAGGTCAAAGGTCAGGTAATGGTGGGAATGAGAGAATGGTAATCAACTCAGTAAAGGTCATTATCCCATCTCAAATGACACCAAACTCGACCCTAATCACACCACCACTTGAATAGCCTTAAAACCTTCAATAACTCCTATGTTAAGTTATTAATTACTGACACATCCCAAAGGTAATTAGACCTGTACTGACACATCCCAAAGGTAATTAGACCTGTACTGACACATCCCAAACGTAATTAACACACCTCTGACACATCCCAAAGGTAATTAACACACCTATGACGGATCGCAAGATAATTAGACTAATGTGACACATCCCAAAAGTAATTTACACACCTCTGACAGATCACAAAGGTAATTAACACACCTCTGACAGATCACAAGTTAATTAGACTAATCTGACACATTCCAAAGGTAATATCACACCTCTGACAGATCACAAGATAATTATACTACCCTGACACATCCCAGACTAATGTGACACATCCCAAAAGTAATTTACACACCTCTGACAGATCACAAGATAATTAGACTACCCTGACACATCCCAAAAGTAATTTACACACCTTTGACAGATCACAAGATAATTATACTACCCTGACACATCCCAAAAGTAATTTACACACCTCTGACAGATCACAAAGGTAATTAGACTAATCTGACACATTCCAAAGGTAATATCACACCTTTGACAGATCACAAGATAATTATACTACCCTGACAGATCACAAAAGTAATTAACACACCGCTGACAGATCACAAGATAATTAGACTAATCTGACACATTCCAAAGGTAATATCACACCTCTGACAGATCACAAGATAATTATACTACCCTGACACATCCCAAAATTAATTCACACACCTCTGACAGATCACAAAAGTAATTAACGCACCTCTGACAGCTCACAAGGGTAATTAACACACCCCTGACAGCTCACAAGGGTAATTAACACACCCCTGACAGCTCACAAGGGTAATTAACACACCCCTGACAGCTCACAAGGGTAATTAACAAACCTCTGACAGATTCCAAAGATAATTAAACCTCTACTAACACGCCAAAGGTAACTAACCATCTAAAACACGCTAATTACTTCTCCCTAACTACCTTCCTAATTACCAACACGACTCAATTATATTTGCATAGTAACTTTAACAAAATCATTCAAGAAATTAATTTATATTTGTGTCTCAGGTAAATTTCTCCTCCCATTTTTTTTAATTACATTCGTGTAATTACCTTCAAATTACCTGTGTTAATTATTAAGAAATGTAATTAAATCTTGAAATCTGGTTAAGTAGTTATATATTACAGTTATATTCAGATTTTTGGGGTCATTTGGTGTCTTTGATCCAGATTTTGGGGTCCTGATGTGGCCCAAGTTTAGATTTTAGGGTCCTGATGTGGCCCAAGTCCAGATTTTAGGGTCCTGATGTGGCCCAAGTCCAGATTTTGGGGTCCTGATATGGCCCAAGTCCAGATTTTAGGGTCCCGATGTGGCCCAAGTCCAGATTTTGGGGTCCTGATGTGGCCCAAGTCCAGATTTTAGGGTCCTGATGTGGCCCAAGTCCAGATTTTGGAGTCCTGATGTGGCCCAAGTCCAGATTTTGGAGTCCTGATGTGGCCCAAGTCCAGATTTTGGGGGTTCTAGTGACCCCAGGTCCAGATTTTGGGGTCATTTTGTACCCCAAGTCCAGATTTTGGGGTCCAACTGGCCTTAGGGTCCACTGTGTTCACTAAATAGGCCCCCAAACCCAATTTTCTTAATAGGATTCCAATTTCATCCCTATTACACTGATGTTAGGGCCAATTACACTTCTCCTTCACCCTATTACAAGGCACCCTGGTCCGTCTCACTGTTCTTGTACCAATTTCAGTTCTTTCTTTCCCTATTACACTGTATTTACTCTCTATTTCATGAGATTTTTCACATTTCGTGGGAATTTTCACCTATTTCATGGGATTTTTCACCAATTTCATGAGATTTTTCACCAATTTCATGAGATTTTTCACCAATTTCATGGGATTTTTCACCTATTTCATGGGATTTTTCACCAATTTCATGGGATTTTTCACCAATTTCATGGGATTTCCACCAATTTCATGAGATTTTTCACCAATTTCATGAGATTTCCACCAATTTCATGGGATTTTCACCAATTTCATGGGAATTTTCACCAATTTCATGGGATTTCCACCAATTTCATGAGATTTTCCACCAATTTCATGGGATTTTCACCAATTTCATGGGATTTCCACCAATTTCACAATTTTTCTTCCCTATTTCCAGTGCTTCTTCCCTCTTCTATTACGTCACCTGGCCATTAGACCTAACAAGTCATTATCTCTGTAACCTAACCCATTTAATAGTTGTTGGTGGTTGGTGGTAGTGGTAATAATTGTGGTTGGTCGTAGTGGTAGTTGTGGTTGGTGGTGGTTGTGGTAGTGGTAATAATTGTGGTTGGTGGTGGTGGTAGTGGTAATAATTAGCGGTTGGTGGTGGTAGTCGTTTGTGGTTGGTGGTGGTGGTTATGGTTAGTGTTAATTAATTGTAATAATTGTGGTTGGTGGTGGTGGTTGTGGTTGGTGGTGGTTGTGGTTGGTGGTAGTGTAGTAATAATTGTGGTTGGTGGTGGTGGTGGTTGTGGTTGGTGGTGGTGAGGTAGTTGTGGTTGGTGGTGGTGGTGGTTGTGGTTGGTGGTGGTGGTGGTAGTGGTAATAATTGTGGTTGGTGGTGGTTGTGTGGTTGGTGGTGGTTACTGTGGTTGGTGTGGTGGTGGGAGTTGTGGTTGGTGGTAGTAGTGGTTTAAGTTAATTGCAGTGTAATTGGAAGATACTAGAATTACTTATCAATTCATTTTGGAGACATAAGGTCCAATTTCACAGATTTTGGAGACATAAGGTCCAATTTCACAGATTTTGAAGGCATAAGATCCAATTTCACTGATTTTGGAGACATAACGTCCAATTTCACTGATTTTGGAGGGTTCTTCATGGGATTCTAGAGGTAACAGTTCCCTTTCAGTCGATTTCGGAGGATAGGTTTAATCTCTACGTATATTTTTGAAGTTAAGGAATACATTAAGTATTTTTGAGAGGTTTAATTTGGTTTTCTATGTAATTTTTACCACTAGCGGCTACTTTTTGAGGACTGTTGGCTATTTTCCACTAATTTTGGCTATTTTTTTTACTAAATTAGCTAGATTTTGACAACTTTTAGCTACTTTTTGACTTTTACATCACCGGTAACGTTTCTAACTGCTATTTTTCGAACAGTTAATATTTCGAACGTATGTAACTGTCCGAACACTCATTGTGATTAGTTAACAGTCGACAACAGTTAATATTTCGAAGAGTTAAGAGTCCGAACTGTAGTTAACAGTCCGAACACTTCCACTTTCCGAACAGTCGTAAGGCAGAGTTAAGTGAAGGAACTGTATAGTGACAGTCAGGTGTGTGTATGGTGACAGTCAGGTCTGAGGCTCCCGGAAATGACTGGGAGAAGCCTAACAGCTAACAGTCATCTGGCCACACAGTCAGATGTGCCTCATTCTCTACGGTGCTTCGCCAGTACGGGCATTCAACACTGCCTGGCGTAATCTATCGCTTCCTAGTGATAAGGTTATGGATGGTAGGCCAGAAAATCCTTCGCTCGCCTTGTGCTTACACTGGCGTTAATTTTCACAGCAACATAATCTCCGCCAGACGTAAGATCGCCAGCACTAGCGTTTGCTCGCCTGGCGTGTCTTGGTAACCAGTTGGTAGAGTAGAGCCATTGCCTCGTCTAGGCCTTCACCAGTGACGGCACAGGCAGGAGCCACGGCCCAAGGCTGTGTGTCCGGCAGCTCTGGCAGACCCATCGCCTTGGCCAGGTGTTGTGGTTCACGAGCGCCAGGTAGGTCCTGTTTGTTCGCCAGCACGAGCAGAGGCGGTCTAGCTCTGTTTAAGGCCACACACTGCGCCGTCTGTTGCTTGGTGAGACGCTGTAACTCGACTCTGTTCTCCTCCAACCGCTCCTCACACGAGCTGGAGTCTACCACAAAGATGAGGGCGTCAGTGGCTCTGGTGTAAGACCTCCACAGTGGGCGGACACGTTCAGCACCGCCCACATCCCACACCAACCAGTGGCCGCCCCCTGCACGGACCTTCTCCGTGTTGAAGCCGACGGTAGGTACGGCGTTCACGTATTGCCCGTACCTCAGCCGGAATAGAACCGTAGTTTTCCCTGAGGAGTCGAGGCCAACCAGAACGACGTGGGTGGGTGGGCGTACCAGGGTGGCCGCCTCCCACATGAGGTATTGGGCGGCCTCTGCCATCCCCACCCACAGGCACGAACACATCTTCACGCCCACACACGTTCCTCTACGCCCACACGACGTCCAGGATCATCTTCACGCCCATAGTCACGTTACACCGTTCCTCACGCCCACAGTCACGTTCCACAGTTTCACACGCCCACAAACACCTTCCGCACGCCCGTTCCTGAGTGATTTACGCCCACAGTCACGTGCCACCGTTCCTCACGCCCACAGCCTCGTTCTTCACGCCCACAGCCACGTTCCACAATTCCACACGCCCACAAACACCTTCCGCACGCCCGTTCCTGAGTGACTTACGCCCACAGTCACGTTCCACCGTTCCTCACGCCCACATCTTCACGTTCCGCACTCCCACGCCCACAAGATACGTTCCTCTCAATGATTCCAGGGAGTTTATTGGGCGTTCCCCGTTCTCTCGGGGCATTGGTGGCTGGCGGGCGGATGTAGCTGGAACGGGAACGTCTGCAACTGGAATGGGAATGGCAGGAGCTGGAACGGAATTGGTATTCACAATTAGGAACGGCAGCACTTGGAACGGGAATGACTTGGAACGGGAATGACTAACTGGAACGGGAATGACTTGGAACGGGAATGACTAACTGGAACGGGAATGACTTGGAACGGGAATCACATCACAGGAATATCCACGAACGTACACAGACAGACACATGTACACCGATCACTACACGTACACGGTATTAGTTATGTGTAATTAAAATTATATCACTTTTGGCTGAACTGATTTAAAAAGCACTTTCCGGGTTATGTCCGAGTGAATGTTTATTTTTCTGTTTTTATAGTAGAGTGTGTGTTATGTTTTTGGGGGGGGTACAGGTGTTTATATGTGGTATAAAGTCAGATATGTAATGGAGGGGTGGAGCAGCGAGTGGTATGTCCTCCCCTCTCAACGGCTGGTGGGCTACTGAGCGCTAGATCGTTCCCCAGTCGAGGGAAAACGGAAACATTGATGATTCCAACTGATGGTCATTGATATTTTTTATTTAATTTCTATATTAACCATAATTAAATACAAATCAACTTATTAAACATTTTATTATAATATATTCTTAACTTTTAAATTATATTATATACTATAAATACTTTAAAATACTCGTAAATAAGAAAAATATATAAAATAATAGCGGTGTATGGCAACTATGGACGATATCTTTAATTAAGTTACCAATTCGTACAATAACAAACATTTCTCACAACAAATTAAATACGTTATATAATTCTCACATGACTCAGATATCTTGAGAAACATAATCTATAATGTTCACCACACTGAGAAACACAACAGACACACATAGAGCCATTAAAAAACCACTAAATTAATAACACTGGCAACTGTACCCAGACACGGTGAAAATATCTTACAATTCCCGGTAAATTATCGTTAACTAATTCTTTAACTTGATTATTTTCACTAAATTCCCGGAAAATCGGAATTATTTATTAATTATCGTCGTAAATTCGTCCAAATATCGCAGCTGATCGGAAAATATAGACGAAGGACGATATTTGAGATGATTTAAAATAGTTTATCGTCCCCAAAAATGTGAATTATCGTATACAGGAAGGTTCATGTGTGTGTGTGTGTGTGTGTGTGTGTGTGTGTGTGTGTGTGTGTGTGTGTGTGGAGGGGAATTAGGAGGGAAAGAGAGAGAGAGAGAGAGAGAGAGAGAGAGAGAGAGAGAGAGCTGTAACCCGTAATTAAAATAAAACACCTTTATTTAACCCGTATTTAAGGGCGAATTCCATACCGTATGCAAATTGGTTAACTGATTACCATATTTTATCTATGAGTTCTGTTAGGCCCCAGTTCTGTTAGGCCCCAGTTCTGTTAGGCCCTAGTCCCTGTTAGGGCCCCAGTTCTGTTAGGCCCTAGTTCTGTTAGGGCCCCAGTTCTGTTAGGCCCCAGTTCTGTTAGGCCCCAGTTCTGTTAGGCCCCAGTTCTGTTAGGGCCCCAGTTCTGTTAGGCCCCAGTTCTGTTAGGCCCCAGTTCTGTTAGGGCCCCAGTTCTGTTAGGCCCCAGTTCTGTTAGGCCCTGAGTTCTGTTAGGGCCCCAGTTCTGTTAGGGCCCCAGTTCTGTTAGGCCCCAGTTCTGTTAGGCCCCCAGTTCTGTTAGCCCCAGTTCTGTTAGGCCCTGTTAGGCCCCAGTCCTGTTAGGCCCCAGTTCTGTTAGGCCCAGTTCTGTTAGCCCCAGTTCTGTTAGGCCCCAGTTCTGTTAGGCCCCAGTTCTGTTGCCCCAGTCTTGCAGGGCCCCAGTTCTGTTAGGCCCCAGTTCTGTTAGGCCCCAGCCCTGTAGTTCCGCCTGTTAGGCCCCAGTTCTGTAGGCCCCAGTTCTGTTAGACCCCAGTTCTGTTAGGCCCCAGTTCTGTTAGGGCCCCAGTTCTGTTAGGCCCCAGATCTGTTAGGCCCCAGTTCTGTTAGGCCCTGTTCTGTTAGGCCTCAGTTCTGCTAGGCCCCAGTTCTGTTAGGCCCTGAGTCTGTTAGCCCCAGTTCTGTTAGGGCCCCCAGTTCTGTTAGGGCCCCAGTTCTGTTAGGCCCTCAGTTCTGTTAGGCCTCAGTTCTGTTAGGCCCCAGTTCTGTTAGCCCCAGTTCTGTTAGGCCCCAGTTTTGTTAGGCCCCAGCGGGCCCCATACTTGAGCCCCAGTTCTGTTAGGGCCCAGTCTCACAGGCCCTAGTTCTAATAGGCCCCAGATCTGTTAGGCCCTAGTTCTAACAGGTTAGGTTGCAAGTTAGGTTAGTTTAGGTTTTTCTTTCTCTCTCTCTTCCGAAAATAATTCCAGGTTGTGTTGTTGATCTCAGTCTGGTCTGGGATGCCATCATGGGACAGAGAGAAGGAGAGAGAGAGAGAGAGAGAGAGAGAGAGAGAGAGAGATCAAAGACTTCAGAGGCCAATCAAAACCCATCTTTTCCTCCCTCCCTCTCTCTCTCCCTCCCCCTCTCCCTCCCTCCCTCCCTACCTCCCCACCTCCCCTTAAAATTCCTATGATCTTGAGCCTTTCAAACACACACACTCTCTCTCTCTCTCTCTCTCTCTCTCTCTCTCTTCACATCAAAGGCTTCCACCATATCGTCAACACATCCACATGCCCTTCCTCCTCCTCCTCCTCCTGGCCAGAATTATCCAACACACCACCTCGACCCAGACACAAGGCCAAGATCAACACGTACAGCGCCACAGCGAACACCACCTGGCATAACCCTAACCCAACCCTAAACCGACTCTGACTCAACCTAACCCTAACCTAACCTGACCGACCTGGAAGTGAGATTTGGTTATTGTTGTGTGATAAATGACTTCGTCTGTCTGTCTGTCTGTCTGTCTGTCTTAATATATTAATCTTGGACACACACACACACACACACACACACACACACACACACACACACACACACACAGTCAGATCAAAACACACACACACAGTTTTCATATATTTTATTTTGTACAGGAAATTCAACAGTTGTGATATACACTTACTAAGGCTTTTCCATCTCTCTTCATCCTGGGAGAAAATAATAATAATAATAATAATAATAATAATAATAATAATAATAATAATAATAATAATAATATAGCAATAATAATAATAATAATAATAATAATAATAATAATAATAATAAATAATAATAATTATGTATATTTAACTAATATATAATTATTTAACTGATATAATTGGCCAAGTCTCGTAGTTATAATTGATAATTCTAATTAAAATCATTGTTAATCCAATTTTTTTTTGCAGGTAATTATTCTTTGTAAATTAACATAATTATTTATTATTTATAATTAATGAAAATAATCACAATAATTCTAAATACTACCATGACTTAACTCTCAATTTAACAACACAATAATTATTAACTCAAAATAATTCGTTCATTCCAAAAGTTATTATTGACCTTAATTAAATTGGGTCACCTGAAGATTAGACACCCCATAGCTACCTGGGGTTAGGTTAGGACAGGTCAGGTCAGGTCAGGTCAGGTTAGGGTTAGGTTAGGTTAGGTTAGGTCAGACAGGTCAGTTAGGTCAGGTCAGGTTAGGTCAGGACAGGTCAGGTTAGGTCAGGACAGGTCAGGTTAGGGTCAGGTCAGGTCAGGTAACAGGACAGGTTAGGTCAGGTCAGGTTAGGACAGGACAGCTTTGGTCCAGTCGCAGAACAGGTTAGGGTCAGGACAGGGTTAGGTTAGGTCAGGACAGGTCAGGTTAGGTCAGGACAGGTCAGGTTAGGACAGGTCAGGTTAGGGTAGGTAATCACCAGCCTAACAAGCTAGGGTGGGGTCTAATCACCAGGTCCCCTTAATGGACTTGTACAAACTTAATGACGTCATCTTGTTAATATATTCATATAAACACACATACCAAACACTTCATCACTATATACATTGTTAAGCTTAGCTGATATCACAGAAAGAATACATGGAAATATACATATGTCATCGACTGTTATCGTCCCAGCTGCTAAAATACATATGATGTGGAGCGGTGATTGGTTATCAAAGTCCATGACGTAATGGGGGGTGAGAACCAATCAGGTCACTGTATGGTGGTGAGGTGTGTGTGTGTGTGTGTGTGTGTTTTTTTAACCAATTGCGTGCCGTCAGTCAGTGTATGCAGCTGATTGGCCGGTTGACAGAGATCAATGACGTAATCGGGAACGACTTCTTTTTTATTAGCCAATTACATTAGCAGTTGCCCGTGACGTCACTGATCAAAGGATGACATCACTATATATTCAGAATTCCAAAATACACGAAATTATATTCTAGAGAAAATTCTTTATCACTTCTTACACAAATATCAAACATTTTCTCTTATTTTAAATCTAGTTCAACCGTTAAGATCAATAAATTAAGAAAATGCCTCAAAAATCACATTTCTGGGGAACTGTACAGTTATCGTACATCTGGTAACGAAACCTCGAGTGCCGTATTTTGTGACGTCATGACTTTAAGAGATCGTTGGTATAATATTGATCTAAACTCCTATTGGCTGAAATAACATCAAATATAGTTTTTTAAATTCAATTATTATTATATTTAGATAAAAAAGATTTTGAAAATAATTAAAGATTCCAGTTTATTTTAATGAATTTTTATGCTCGCTGTACGGCAATAATGGAGTGTTGCTATTTGGGGTTTGGTTTTATAGGTTTAATGTAGAGGTTTATTGGGTTTATCTTATATTAACCCTTAAAACACGTAATATAATACATAATAATCATATATATTTAATAAACCACTTGTATCCATAAAGACGTCTACTAAAATATATATTCTGACCTTTATGATATACGAACCACAAGTGAATTTGTTTTAGGCTCGTGGTAGATTATTTTAGGCTCGTGGTTGATTGATAATTATTTTAGGTTCGTGGTTGATTGATAATTATTTTAGGCTCGTTGATTGATAATTATTTTAGGCTCGTGGTTGATTGATAATTATTTTAGGCTCGTGGTTGATTGATAATTATTTTAGGTTCGTGGTTGATTGATAATTATTTTAGGTTCGTGGTTGATTGATAATTATTTTAGGTTCGTAGTTGATTGATAATTATTTTAGGCTCGTGGTTGATTGATAATTATTTTAGGGTCGTGGTTGATTGATAATTATTTTAGGCTCGTAGTTGATTGATAATTATTTTAGGCTCGTGGTTGTTCCAAAAAGTATCGTTTATGAGTATTTATCTGGCATTCATCGTTTATTTACAGTGATTCACAGCTAACGGCCCTCCTCCACCCTAACAACAAGATGGCGGACTTTGCCCTTTGTGACTTGAGTTGACTAGACATACATAAAAATGACTAACACCCCCCCCCCTCCCACCACCGCCCCCCCACCCCCGGGAGCTGCGCTGATTGGTTGACGCCGCAAGCACCTTGGCTATGATTGGCTAAAGCTTGTGCATTGTTGCCGATTACACAGATGCATTTGATTGGATGAAATTTTTTACAGTGGTGCCAAATTTGTTTTATTCTCTGTTTTAACCCAATAAAAACCGTTTCTTCTGTATCACATCCAGATTTAACCTCTTTTTAACATCATTTAACTTAACCTAACCTAACCCAAACTAATCTATAAAACGTTGCTAGTTGATACAGTTATTCGTGGAAGTTTGGCAACTCAGCCCCGGAGATTTGGCAACGTAGCCCCGGAGATTTGGCAACGTAGCCCCGGAAGTTTGGCAACGCAGCCTCAGGGTAATGTCAACATGGCTTCCCCCAAAAATTATTGACCTTAAAAGCGACTAAAACTCTATTATGAGACTCTAGCAGTGGACTAATACACGGACCTACACGGACAGAACACGGACCGTAAGGTAGTCCGTCCGTACGTAAGTCATCTGACGTAATACGGACAGTTTATAGACGGAATTCACGCCTCCGAAAAAATTTGTTCCAATTTTTTTTTTCAAAACATGTTGGACTTTTTGGTTGAATTTAAGTCGTTTCATCTCAGCACTGATTATTTCTTTACTAAATTGGTAGAAATTTATTTATTTTAACCAATTTTATTATAAAAATCAGTTTATTTGGTAGAAATTGACTTATTTTAACCAATTTCACCGTAAAAATCAGTCAATTTATCGTAATTTTAGAAGATAATCGATTTTCTTCTAAGAATTTAACACCAAAAAACACGAGAATTATTGGAACTCGAATTTTTTTTATTTTTAACATTTTAATTTAACTAATTTAATTTTTTTTATGGGGAATATTTAATTTATTGATGTTTTTCTTAAGTTAAAATCGAAATTAACCTCGACTTAACCATTACTGGTGTCTATAGCTAAAGTACCACTTGATAACAACCTGACAACCTGAAGACTCAACCATTGATATGCTGTTGGTTGATTGTGGTAGTTAAGATGTTAGTAGCAGATGGTGGTAAGTGATGTCAGGAGGTGGTGGTTGATGCTGGTAGTTAAGATTTTGGCAGCAGATGGCGATGGTGGTAGACGATACAAGATAGTGGTAGTCCAATAGTGGTAGTGCCAAAACACACCCCCCCGGAAACTCACTCAGACATTACCCCAACTAGTTCCAGGGGTCAAACTATCACCCCAGCTAGTTCCAGGGGTCAAACTATTACCCCAGCTAGTTCCAGGGGTCAAACTATCACCCCCAACCAGTTCCAGGGGTCAAACTATCACCCTAACCAGTTCCAGGGGTCAAACTATCACCTCAACCAGTTCCAGGGGTCAAACTATCACCCCAGCTAGTTCCAGGGGTCAAACTATCACCCCAGCTAGTTCCAGGGGTCAAACTATCACCCCAAATAGTTCCAGGGGTCAAACTATCACCCCAACCAGTTCCAGGGGTCAATCTATCACCCCCAACCAGTTCCAGGGGTCAAACTATCACCCCAGCTAGTTCCAGGGGTCAAACTATCACCCCAACCAGTTCCAGGGGTCAAACTATCACCCCAGCTAGTTCCAGGGGTCAAACTATCACCCCAACCAGTTCCAGGGGTCAAACTATCACCCCAACCAGTTCCAGGGGTCAAACTATCACCCCCAACCAGTCCCAGGGGTCAAACCATCACCCCAACCAGTTCCAGGGGTCAAACTATCACCCCAGCTAGTTCCAGGGTCAAACTATCACCCCAACCAGTTCCAGGGGTCAAACTATCACCCCAACCAGTTCCAGGGGTCAAACTATCACCCCAACCAGTCCCAGGGGTCAAACAGGTGCCCCAAATGCCCCAGTAGTTGAACTATCACCCCAACCAGTACCAGGGGTCAAACAATTCCCCCACCAATGCCAACAACACCCGGGGCTGGTTGGGGCAGTTAACTAGATAGTATGCGTGGATCATCTGGTCTTCTTCTTGCTTGACTTAGTGAGGCGACGTTGTTTGTGGATCATCTCGTATAGGTGTTCTAAGGCGTCATCAAGGCCCTCTCCTGTAATGGCGCACGCTGGCTGTTAAGGGGGTGAGAGATAGAGATTAGTGAGAGATAGAGGTCAGGGAGAGAGATAGAGAGGTCAGGGAGGGAGATAGAGAGGGGGGAGAGATAGAGAGGTCAGGGGAGGGAGATAGAGGTCAGGGAGGGAGATAGAGGCCAGGGGAGAGAGATGGAGGCTAGGGGAGAGAGATAGAGGTCAGGGAGAGATAGAGGCCGGAGAATCAGGGCCAGGGAGATACAGAGGCCAGGGAGAGATACAGAAGAGGCCAGGAGGAGATATGGGCCAGGGAGAGAGATAGAGACGAGGTTTGAGAGAGACAAGAGAAGAGGCCAAATAATAGCCTGGTATATATGACAGGCTGGCTGAACGATATTCAAATGACACTTACTATTACTACGACCACAACTACAACTATCACAACCACAACAACCACCACAACAACCACCACAACTACCACAACAACCACAATCTTACCTGTATGTGCCATAGGTGTGTATTTCCCAGCTCAGAAATCCCGAGTAGTCTTTCAATCTCCACCGAATCTTTGGCGCCAGGTAAGTCTTGTTTATTGCAGAACCAGTATGGGTACCTGTGGAGGGAAGGTTTAGTGGAGGGTACCTGTGGAGAAGGTTTAGTGCTGAGGTTACCCGTGGAGGAAGGTTTAGTACTGAGGGTACCTGTGGAGGGAAGGTTTAGTGGAGGGCACCTGTGGAGGAAGGTTTAGTGGAGGGTACCTGTAGAGGGAAGAAGGTAGTGGAGGGTAACTGTGGAGGGAAGGTTTAGTGGAGGTACGCCTGTGGAGGAAGGTTTAGTGGAGGGTACCTGTGGAGGGAAAGGTTAGTGGAGGGTACCTGTGGAGGGAAGGTTTAGTGGAGTGCCTGTGGAGGGAAGGTTTAGTGGAGGTACTGTGGAGGGAAGGGGGTGCTGAGGGTACCTGTGGAGGGAAGGTTTAGTGGAGGTACCTGTGGAGGGAAGGTTTAGTGGAGGTACCTGTGGAGGTTTAGTGGAGGTACCTGTGGAGGGAAGGTTTAGTGGAGGGTACCTGTGGAGGGGAAAGGTGTGGAGGGTACCTGTGGAGGAAGGTTTAGTGGAGGTACCTGTGGAGGAAGGGGGTGCTGAGGGTACCTGTGGAGGGAAGGGGTGCTGGAGGGTACCTGTGGAGGGAAGGGGGTGCTGAGGGTACCTGTGGAGGGAAGGGGGTGCTGAGGGTACCTGTGGAGAGGGAAGGAAGGAGGAACTTCTACAGGTGTGTCAATTATCTCTTAACGAGTCACAGGTGTATACATTTAACATCAAAACAAACTTACCAAACCTGACACAATATTTTAAAGAGAAATAAAACACAAACTTAATATTCAGTGGCATCAGGGTCCCTTTGTTTACATCATGATTACGTGTCTCACCGACCTATCGTGACCACATTCAATAGTGACAAAGTTCTTTAAATTCCACTAAATATAATCAAAGTTTTATAATAAATCTTGGAAAAAAATAAAAATATATATTTTTTAATATTTTACGTTGATTTTAAAAGTTTGTAAAGATTTTTGTTTATTGCACCTGATAGTTAAATAATCTAACCTACTACCTACACACACCCCCACCCACCCACCCACCCACCATCCATCCCCACCCACACGCCTCCAAACCCTCCACCACCCTCCCCCTCCCCCACCCCACACACCCCCACCCCACCCACCCACCCACCCACCCCACACCCCCACCATCCCCACCCACCGCCTCCAACCCTCCCACCACCTCCCCTACTCCCCTACCCCACACACCCACCCCCACACCTGCGCATTCTCAGGTGCTGCCGTCTTGTACAGTTCACATCTTGCCTCCTCTAGTCTCTCTCAAAATCTACAGAATCCACCACAAAGACGATGCCATCAGTACAGCGGGTGTAGGACTTCCAGAGTGGGCGTATTTTCTCTTGCCCGCCCACGTCCCAGATGAGAAAGCTGGTGCCCTGAGGAGAGAAGGATATTTAAGTTAGGATATCTAGGTCTAGGAGACATTTTGGTTAGGATATCTAGATCTAGGAGACATTTTGGTTAGGATATCTAGGTCTAGGAGACATTTTGGTTAGGATATCTGTCAATAAAATCAGTCTTAAACACCTGTATACACCTGTTCAATAACTAAACATGTGGCTGGAACAGGAGAAAAACATCTCTCTCTCTCTCTCTCTCTCTCTCGGTACGTAAGCCGTATAAAAGTTCCATCACCCCAGAACTGCTGAGAGAAATTGAGGAGGAGGATAGGAGGATATTCTTCCTCCTCCTCTTCCTCCTCCTTATTCCTTCTTCCTCCCTCTTCCTCCCCTCCTTCTTCTTCTTCGATTTCTTTCCTCCTCCCTTCCCTTCTTCCCTCTTACCTCTGTTTCTCCCCCACCTCTCTACTCTCCCTCCCCCCTCCCTCTCTCTCCCCTCTCCTCCCCCACTCACCCACCACACATCAGAAGCCCTCTCAGCACTGCATCTTTAAGCGGTCTCACATGATGAAACCTTCCTCACTTCCCGGCAACACAGGTTAAATATTTCATCTCCCCTCCCCCCTTCATACCTCCACCTGCGCGCGCTTTTTATGTTTACCTTTTTTCGCGCGCTTTTTGGTGATTTTTTCCGCTTTTTATGTTTATTATTTTTCGCGCGCTTTTGGTGGATTTCCCGCGCTTTTATGTTTACCTTTTTCGCGCGCTTTTGGTGATTTTTTTCTTTCCCGCGTTTTTTATATATTTTCGCGCATTTTGGTGTTTTTGCTTGTTATTACCACCGTTTTTCTCTCGTTTTCTTGCGTTTTTTATCAATATTTTCTCCCTCTTCCTCCTTCCTTCCAACTCCCTCCCTCTCTTCCTCAATCCACTCAGAGGTGTTCCCAGAGCAGCGTGTTTACAATAATTGTTTACCCGCGTCTTTGCGTTGTCGGGGTTGCCAACTCATTTATTGAATACAATTTTATAGTTTTTTTTTTTGGTATATTTTTTGTAGTTGTATTAATCTTATACAACTACAAAAATGTAAAGGAATGTATTATAGGTTTATTTTGTAGTTTGTAAAGGAATATATTATTGTTTGTTTTTGGAGATGTTAATCTCTCTCTCTCTCTCTCTCTCTCCAGCTATTAGGGAACCAATCTACTTCCCTCTCACACCCCTCCCTTCCCTCCATTACCTCTCCTACACCTCTCCATACCTCTCCCACCCTCCTCCCACCCCTCTCACTCCCTCCCTCTCATCCCTCTCACCTGTAATTAACCCCAAGGCCACACCACTCAGGACTTGGGGTCAACAATGAGTCGTAATCAATATTCTCAAAAGCTCTTACGATAATTTTTTTTCCGCGTAAAGTTTGAATGAGAAATGTGATGATGATGTTGTTATGGAGAGGAGGAGAGGAGAGGAGAGGAGGGGGAGAAGAGGAGGAGAAGGAGAGGAGGAAGTGGAGATAGAAGAGGAAGAAGAAGAACAACAACAGAGAAAGAGGAAGACTGGTTGGCCTAAATACATCAGGTGAGGCGCCAAGTTAATTAATTCACCTGTGATCTTTCTCCCTCTCTCTCTCTCTCTCTCTCTCTCTCGTCTTGAAACTGTGTACAACATCTTTTCCCAGGTATAACAACACAAAACCATTAACGTACGATAACCAAAAAACAGACCATAACAAACAAGTTGCCAAGCGTACGATAATCACCCTACTGTAGTTTAAGTGCGATAACCTTCTCACATCACCAGTTTAGGAGGCAAAACGTATCGTAGCTCTTGAGGGCCTTATTTGAGGGCCTCGAGGTGTGTAGAAGTGCCTCAGTATTGGTTTGAAGGAGATGTGTCTTGGTGTTACTTTCACTTAGGATCAATATATTAGGTATCTTCTTCTTCTTCTTCTTCTTCTTCTTCTTCTTCTTCTTCTTCTTCTTCTTCTTCTTCTTCTTCTTCACCATCTTCTTCTTCTTCTTCTTCTTTCCTTCTTCTTCTTCTTCTTCTTCTTCTTTCTTCTTCTTCTTCTTCTTCTTTCTTCTTCTTCTTTCTTCTTCTTCTTCTTCTTCTTTCTTTCTTCTTCTTCTTCTTCTTCTTTCTTCTTCTTCTTCTTCTTCTTCTTCTTCTTCTTCTTCTTCTTTCTTCACCATCTTCTCTTCATTATTCTCATCTACTAACCCTCCTCCTTCATACTCATTTATTCCCCCTTCTCCACCTCCCCCCTTCGCATCTAGACCAAACTGCGATTATTAACTCCCCTACGTCTGGAGAGAATAAGTGAGTCTCTCTCTTCTTCACCATCTTCTTCATCATTATTCCCCATCTTTCTAAATCCCCTTCCTTCCTTCATACTCCATTTATTCCCACTTCCACCTCCTTCGCATCTAGACCAAACTGGCACACAACTCCCCCCTACGTCTGAGAATATCAAGTGAGTCTCCTCTCTTCACCATCTTCTTTCATCATTGCCCCATCTACTAACCCCTTCCTTCCTTCATACTCCATTTATCTCCTTTCTCCACCTCCCCTTCGCAGGCCCAGACCAAACTGCGACACAACTCCCCCACGTCTGGGAATATCAAGTGAGTCTCCTCTCTCTTCTTTCACCATCTTCTTCTTCTTCATTATTCTATCTACTAACTCCTTCCTTCCTTTCACTCCATTTATTCCCACTTCTCCACCTCCCCCTTCGCATCTAGACCAAACTGCGACACAACTCCCCCTACGTCTGGGAATAAGTGAGTCTCCCCTCTCTTCTTCACCATCTTCTTCTTCTTCATTATTCCCCCATCTACTAACCCCTTCCTTCCTTTCTACTCCATTTATTCCCCCTTCTCCACCTCCCTCCTTCGCATCTAGACCAAACTGCGACACAACTCCCCCTACGTCTGGGAATAAGTGAGTCTCCCCTCCGTCCCAGATTTTCTCGAATATATCCGTTTTCTATGATGTTCCTCGATGCTGTGGATATGGTCTAAATCATTTATACCTCCTGTTAAACCCTTCCCAGCCGCCTCATTTTAGAGATATTTGGTTGTATTTATGTTGTAAAGTCATCGTAGTGGCTGTAACCTTGACCTGGGTGGTATCGAACCTGGGGATCTTGTGAATTTTGTAGAGAATCTGTTGCCATTTGGTTCCTGAGCTGAACTTCCGGGTTAGGTTTAGGTATGTAACTGATGCTGCCAAAATTCTTGAATCTCCCCAGTAACTCGGCCATACTTAACCCCCCAGCGAATTAAAACTTATGTCTCAACAGTCCCTAACTTTTGATTGGTCGTTAAAATGTGAGGCGGAGGATGACGTCAGTTTCCCGACATCCAATAAGGGTTTAGGAGATGATATATTCTTGGGCCATTACTTACACGTGATTGGTCAGATGTTCGCAGTTCTAATAGGCCCCAGTTCTAATAGGCCCCAGTTCTAATAGGCCCCAGTTCTAATAGGCCCCAGTTCTAATAGGCCCTAGTTCTAATAGGCCCCAGTTTTAATAGGCCCCAGTCCTTTTAGGCCCCAGTAGATATTTGTAGAAGTTTCTGTAGAATGAAAACACTGTTGCTCCTCTATGTTTGACGTCATGCAATCTGGCCAATCATATAAGGCCATTGTTGAGAAGAATGACGTCATTGAAAAATTTGTCCATTCATGTGAGGTTTAGGCCCATGGACGAAAACAACGTCATAGATACTAACCAATCACACAAATATATGATCAATGACGTCATGAACGCCATCCAATCACGTTGGGGTTTATGAAACATGACGTCACGGAAACTATCCAATCACACGGTGTTTTGGTCGATGCTAGCTAATCCCGGCTTACAAAGACGAGTTCTACCATTCGAAAAAATCCCAATATCTTTCGCTATAAGAGTTATTACACTATACACACCGACTTATAGTGTAATATATATTATTATGAGTTAGTTATAGTATCTAGAGGGGTTGTAATAGTGAGGAAAATGGTTAAAATAAGTAATTAAATTCTCTCCTCCATGACCCTCTCTCTCTCCCCTGATCGATCACTGGACTAGCCTAGCAAGTCATGACTGGACGGTAGGTAAATGGAGGGAACTTCTCTCGCATATGCGTCGTAGGTAATTAGATATTCCTACATAAATAATGACTAAACTCTACAGTAATTAATAAACTTAATTATCGTTATCACTGAAAGCATCCCAGCAGCTGTCATTATGTAGATTTCACGCCTATGAGGGTATAGCGCGCACTGATTGGTCCGTTTCCCCACCGTCTTGTGTCCTGATTGGCTAGGTTCCCAGCTATGACGTAATATCACCATGATGTATGCTGATTGGTCTTTTCCCTACTGAGATGTGTCCTGATTGGCTAGGTTCCCAGCTATGACGTAATATCACCATGGTGTTTGATGATTGGTCGTTTCCCCACCGTCTTGTGTCCTGATTGGCTATGTTCCCAGCTATGACGTAATATCACCATGATGTATGCTGATTGGTCGTTTCCCTACTGAGATGTGTCCTGATTGGCTAGGTTCCCAGCTATGACGTAATATCACCATGGTGTTTGATGATTGGTCGTTTCCTCACTGTATTGTGTCCTGATTGGCTAGGTTCCCAGCTATGACGTAATATCACCATGGTGTTTGATGATTGGTCGTTTCCTCACTGTATTGTGTCCTGATTGGCTATGGTCCCAACTACGACGTAATATCACCATGACGTGTGTTGATTGGTTCTTATCCATTATGGCCATCGCTGATTGGCCCATTGTCAATAAAATCCCCCAAATATTTTAATTCAAACTCAAAATCATAACTAACAACAAAGGAGGGATTTTTACGAATAAAATCTCACATTAAATTAAATAAAACAAAGAAAAATCCCCCCAAAACGACGATATAGGGATTTTATATCTTTAAAAAAAAATCCCGATAGGAATTTGGTGACGCATATAGAGGCAGCTGATATTTGATGACGTCATATGTAAACACCAGCTGAGGCTTAGGAAGGATATTCT